AAAAATAATTACTAATATTTCACCAACATTAAAATTAAATCATCAAATATTTTCCAAATATATATATATATATATATAACCCATCGAGTTCTGGACTCAGTGAGTTGTTTCCACACCACTGCTACTAACCAAACTGTCAGGGCAGTGCGCAGCCATGGCGTGAAAAGCCGAGCCGCGACTTGTCCCTGTTGAACTCGAATAAGAACCCTTCTTGCATTAGATTCCCTATAACGGAAAAGCCCGTTCCCGTACTAATGGGTTGAATCGCCAGGCACGTCACTCCCTCCTCCGTCTCGATGAAATAGTTCCTCGGCGGTGGCGCGAACACCGAGTCGCCGCTCAGTTTGAAGCTTAATCTGGGCAGTTGCGGCATCGCATTGCCTGATACGTTCAAGCAGAGGTCGAAATCCGGAGTCGGCTCGGTCGGACTCGGCAGCTTCACTCGCCGTTTCATCTCCCAGAGAATCTGACGGTAAGCTGGTTCTGGTAAGAAAGTTAAAGTCGTGCCGGAATCAATCACTGTCCCGCCGTTTCCCATCTCGTCGAGAGACCAAACAGAAGGGTCAATCTGCAATTTCACGTTGTTGACGGAAACACTTTTGATTCCAATGTAGTAAAATGTAGGAGACCGTGGGTTGATCAACAGCGGAGTAAAGCTTATTTTTGGTGTTTTCGAGACGGCGAGCTGGTTGCCGCCGATCATGAGGTAGCTTGTGGGCGGCGGAGATAATGTGTAATCCATGAGGCAGTAAGAGAATTTGTTCCCGTAACGGCGGCCCAGTTGCGAAGCAAACGAAATGGATCCCTGGCCAAGGCCCATCACTCCGTGGGAACCATTGAAGCTGGCGCCGGAGAGACTAGGACCAGAGATACGAAAACCGCACCCGAAGGAGAGGTTCTCGAGCTTGGCTTCCCTTCCGGAGCTGGTTTTCAACGTCGTCGTTTCCTTGGAGAAGAAGCCACTTGTTTGGGACCCGTCGGAGTATTCGTATTCATAGCGGCAGGGACTGTGGAGTCGGGTCCGGTTGCACGGGTTTGGGTCCGGATGTGGTACTAAGTCACAGGTAGAGTCGAAACAGTGCTGGGGGGAGAAGGAGGAGGAATGGCGAGCGAGAAATGTAGAGCCGGAAGGATGGAGAAAGGAGCAGTTGTGGCGACACGCGGAGCAGGTAACCCAGAGGAGATCGCTGCCTGTATCGGCGACTAGTAGCAGAGACTGTGGGGGAGAGCCAAGCCGGAGTTCCACGAAGTACTGACCCGACCCATACGCTGCTCCGGAAACAAGAGGAGATTTGATGATTCCCTTCTGTTTGCGGTGGTGGTGGTGACGGCTGCGGTGGAGATGAGAAAGGCGGTGAATGTCGAGCAGGAGGGACTGGGTAGGGGATAGACGTGGGGTTTTGCGAAGCAATGGGAGTTTAAAGTATTCTCCGGTGACGCCGATTTGGTCGTTGACCACCGCGAGGAGGACGAAGAGGAGAGAAAATGAAGAGAGCGAGACCATGGCCATGGAAAGGAGGATGACACAGAGGGGACAATCTTTGAGGTCCGTGCTGGGATTATTTGTTTCGTTCTTTTTTTTGGCGGTTTGCTGGTACGTACTAACTACGCTGTATATACAGTCAAATACGTATAGAGTATCCGCGCCGACTCGGCCCCTGAGTTGCAATTTATCTTTGAGTGTCTAGTGTAATTAAAATGATACAATTATAA